GCAGCCTTCATTGCTTGAAAGCAGCAAGTTCTCATCTGCTTTACAAGATACTGCTTTTGTGGGTCATTAACTTTCAGCTTCAGGCAGATTAAGATGAAACACCAAAGCATTTACCAGTGGCAAGACCCTTGGACAAGAGGAGGGACTACATAGGCAGCACTGAGGAACTCATTTCTCAGCAACAACATTCCAGTCTGGACATACAGTGTTCAGTTATCACATAAAAATATTAGGGTGATAGCAAGCAGCAAAACTGTGTGGTGAGCGCACACAGATCTCCTCAAGTTAAATACTTTTAAATACCAAAAAGGATCAAGTCAAGCACAGAATCAGCCCAAAGGTTTAGCTGATATGACGTCACATACAGAAGGTGAGGATTATTTCCTCTTCATCAGCTTCTCTGACATTTTTAAGATTTTACATCAATATTTTTTACACAAATATCAACCAATTTGATTGTTATTGACTCATATGAAAAAAACATGGGATTTTGTTTGGTTGTTTTTAAAATTGTTGTGGTCTGTTCTCAACAGTAATTGCTTATTCCTGTGATCTTGTTCACAAAGCAAGGAGAATCACCCGAGACTGCCATGTCTCCATTTCAGCTTGAGCGAAGCATCACAAATCACCTAATCCTTTGTCTTTTATAGTCAAGTGACATCCTTGTCCTCCACTCACTTCAAGATCCTACACCTGCTTCTTTTTAGGCTTGAGGGTAGACAAGCAAACCCCTCTTTAATCAATTTCACCAGCTCAGTGCAATTATTACGGAAATTAAAAAGCAGGTCTCTCTTCTCTCAACTCCTGTGAATCACATTCGGAAGTCGCTAATCTTCCCTTTGCAACTTAAAACTACAGTATCCAGGTATTCCTGTAATCAGACACATTAGTTTATACATTCAAGCCCTGCAGTAAAACTGCTAAATGCATTTATCTATTTGTCAGTAAGATTGTTTTCAGAGGCAGTTTAACCCTTTTTCTCGGCCTCAACTCAGTAAACTGGATCACACCCTTTCAGACTAACAGCCAAAGTAATCCAGAAAAGACAGCCTGCCTTAGCTCCACCTGTAAGCACAACCAAAGAACTTGTATTAGCCACAGTTAAGTCCCCAGAAACAAGCAGAAAAGCAAGAATAAAACTATATTAAACAGCCCACGAAGAAGAAAATTTCTGACTGCAAAGAGGGAAAATTCTTCCATGATGCAATTTTAGACTGGCATTATCAGAATGATCTTGTATTATTGAGTTTTCTCCTGTTCTGCCAAAGCAGCTGCCTGTTTCCTTCCTACACCCAGATTTCCTTTAATCATTGAAGACAGGATGCTGTGTTCTGACGAAATGCCTTTCCTGGCCTTCCCTGATGGAGGGAATTAAAAGCCTTGCCAATTCTTTTGAAATGCAAATCTTCACCAAGTAGGTTTCATGCCTCTTCCTACTGTTGCCTCTCCCTGAAGAGCAAACCTTAGGTGGAACATTGAAGAGTGGACTGGTTACTTATCTTCTAAAATGAGTATTGTGTCTTGCACTTGTGATCCCCTAATCTCTCCACTTTCATTTTCCTCTTTCCTTCTCCCCACATCTCGTACTTTTCAAGGAAAAAAGGTTGTTACTTCTAGATGGCAAAAACACTTGAGCCTCCAGCAGCAAAATCATTAATTCTCTTACCTGCACAGCCAATATAGCTTCATAGAATTTCTTTCTTCAAATCTTAACTGTTTCTGTTTTACCTGTTGAGACCTTAGCAGAATAAACATTCAGTCCAAATGCTTCTTTTCGCGTTGTTAACAGAAAAATTCTTCCTCTGTCCGTTTTTGGAAAGCATGGTCAGGGGAATAGCTTTTTAATTAAAAAGGAGGAATACAATTCTAATGAGTAAGAAGCACACGGTCCAATAATGTAATATACAACAGGAGAAAAGAAGATACTAAACCCGACCCTCCCAGGGAGCAAGGAAGTGTCAATGTGAAGAGTCCTAGCATAGTGTTATTCTTTTGGTTCAATTTCAGCCCACAGTTGCGGGGGACAATGTAGAAAGAAAGATAAATACTTCCAAAAGGGAAAGACAAAAGTTTTGTGCAACAGGACAAAGTTCTCCAGATAAAATCTTCTATGCTGCAAAATATTCTCCTGAAGTTAGTGATGGGGGGTATACTGAATCACCAGAATGGTTACAGCAAGACTGAAAAATACAGTGGAAGTACGCATATATGAGCAACTCTATACTGATGGAAGTGGAGTTCAGAGGGTTTTTTTTTCCTCTATTTTAGGAACAGAAATTAAGAATTTTACACTATTCAACAGTGATAGGTTAGTATCAGTAAGAACTTACAGACTCTAATATGAAGTTTTCAACAAATTCAGACAGAAATTTGAATGTTCATAGCTGATAACTGATTAGCAGCATGCTTAACAATACAAACCTTATTTTTGGCTTTACTTTGTAATGAGACTCAAGGAAAAAAAAAAAAAAGCAAGCAATGAATATATTACCTATAGGCATTCCCAATTGCATCGATTCCTCGGAAAACATGGTTAGCAAGAAACCATGAGCACCATTGCTTGTGGAACATTTTTGTCCCTTCAAATATTTAAAATGCAAATCTGTTCAACACTGGCGTATAGTGTGAGTTTGCAATTTCAGTTGTGCAAGTTTTAGATATACACCAGGCTGCCTGCACTTCTGATTAAAGAAAGCAACCATAACCAACATACAGTGTGTGGGCAAGGAAGGACTCCAGAAGAATTCACACTTGTGTTCCTCCTGCCATCTTCTTTCAAGAGTTGCTTTGCTACAAGCATGCATATCAGGACACATTTAAGTAGAACCACTGAAGTATAGATCCCTTGAGTTGGCTGCCTCAAGGCCACATGTCCCAGTTCAGAAAGAGTATTTCCAAGACAATGTTCTAATTCATACACCTAACTTTTTTGAAATGTGCAGTATCTTCAAACACAGTGGAAGATCAGGCTCTCCTGTAGCTCAACAGAAGGCTGACAGAAGTAAAGAACATTTGCTTCTCTTCCTACCTTTGTAACCTACTCAAATCTCTGGACAAGTCTCTCAAGTGCTGTGCCTACATTTCTCCATATACTATACTGACATTACCTTTATCTACAACACTGATCTGCACACAGCTTTGCAGCAGTTGGCCACTCGTTTGGAAAACCAGCTGTCAAATGGCTTGCCCCAAAACATCACAGAAGATAGAAGGAATCAGCAAGTTTCCATTAAAATAAACTTCAATATTGCTTTGAATTCGAGATTGCTGTTAGTAGCCTCAAACCCATCCACCACATTTAAGAACCAGATTGAATCTGGCGGGACACAAACAGTTCTTATTCTTGGAAATAAAAGAAAGCAGATTTTGTGCGCTGGCAGGACACACGTGGATGGCAACTGCAAAAAGTGTATGTTTGGCATGTAGGGGGATGGCACTACTGCCAGCTATCGAGCATTTCCATTACAGCACCTGCTGCAGTTTCACTTGGCATGCTCCTGCAAGCAACTGTGTCATCACAATACTCAGCTATTGTGAAAACTGGCTAGAAGATACCATCCTCACTGGAGTGTCTGCAGCACAATTGATCAGCTCACTATAGAACCCCATATTTCTCACTCATTCATACAATTGATGTTTCTTGGTAAGCTGGGAAACCAGTCTGAACTGACATGACAACAAAAAGAACAGCTTGAATCCTGCCAGAGGGGAAGTTGTTAATTTTTCAGACAATGTAATAGATTAGTGGAAAAGGATATTTGTCCAAACTCACAGATCAAGGTTCAAACATACACTGCTTGAGTACAGAATTAAGTGGCAATAGGACGTTGATCTTCTTTTCAACACATGACAATGAATTCATGTTTTTAGTGTGAAAAGCTAAATAGAAAACAAAACACAACCCAAAACCAACCTGTTGTGGTTTAAGCCTGGTCGGCAGCCAAACACCACGCAGCCACTTTCTCCCCCGTCTCTTCCAGCAATGAGAAGGGACAGATGAGCCAGGCTTTGGGGTTCGAGATAGGACCGGGAGGGGAATATCACCCTCACCCTTTATGGTCATGAGCAAAAGGCAGACTCGTTAGGGGAAGAAAAAAAGAACAGACACTAACAACACTTAACAGAGTAGGAGAGTGAGAAGCATTGTCACATCTTGAGAACACCTTCCCCCCTCCCACCCCCCCTTCTTCCCGGGCTCAGCTCTGCTCCCGATATCTCTACCTCCTCCCCGCAGCAGCGCAGGGGCAGGGAATGGGGGGTGCAGTCAGTACTGCCACTTCTTCCATCTTCAGTGGGGGCAGCTTCTGGAACTTGTTCCCCCTGCTCCATCGTGGTCCCCCTCTCACAGGAGACAGTCTTCCACAAACTCTCTCCAACACAAGTCCCTCCCACAGGCCACAGTTTCCTTACACTGCTCCAGCGTGGGACACCAACTTTCTCCAACTGGAGTCCCTCCCACGGGCTGCAGCCCTTCCCGAGCTGCTCTGGAGTGGGACTCCCCCGCATACTGCAATCCTCCCAGCTCCAAACAACAACAGTGGGGGCTACCTTTTCCCACAAGACCCCAGCCTTCTTCAGGCACAGGACCTTGATCATCCATGCGAAAACCACAGGCCATAAATCAGTGTCTGTTCCACTGTAGATCTTCATGGGTGTCGGGGGGGGCCACCCTGCTATCTCCCCACAGGATACAGGGGGGTCTCTGCTTGGGCACACCTCCCCCCTCCTTTCTTCCTCCGTTCCTCCACTGACCTTGGTGTTCAGGCAGCTGCCGCAACTCCTCCTCACCAGTCCCACTGCTCCTCACCACGTCCCTTCTTAAATATGTTATCACAGAGGTGCAGCTGACTGGCTCGGCCTTCGTGCAGAGGTGGAGCTGACTTGGAACTGGGGGAGCTTCAAGAAGCTTCTCACAGGAGGCCACCCCTAAAGCCTCCTCCCCTGCTACCAAAAAACCCCATCACTCACTCAAACCCAGGACACAACCCTCCAAAAAAAAATCCCCAAACAAAAATGCACGCACCACCCCCAAAATCAACAATCCACAACAACCTAAAAGCACTTTACCAGACTGGCAAGACTCTCTTCCCTTGTTTTCCCAACCCTCAAGAGTAAGAGATTTCACTATTCTGCCACAACCGCTTTACATCAGGTTATTTTCAAATTCAGGCATTGAAAAAAAGATCAAAGAACAGAAGATTACTTCACTAGACATACCAAAAATTATGCCTGAAAAGGCACTGTCCTTTAAACAAGAAGCAGCTGAACTTGGAACACTTCACAAGGTACGGTATAACATCTTACCTTGCAAGTTGTTACAATTTCTTCTTTGGTCTGTAGAGGACCTACTTTTCATCCTCAGAGAAATACTATGAAGATCCAAACACTCAAACCAAATTAATGAGAACTCCTCTAACCATGCAACTGGCTTCAGCAAGCCATTCTGGGAACCTTTCATTTGTCTTCTAGAGTTTGTGTACAGCTTAGTAATCTTTTCAAGACTTTTACATCTACTTGTTTAAATCATGTTCTGGTCAGGACTCCCGGAAGACTCCTTCAGATGGGTAAGCAGTTTTCGCTGTGTGCATCCACACAGCAGAAAGACCGACACACCTCTGGTGCATCTGAGAGCTACATGCAGGAAATGGGGAAAAAAAAATAAATAAAAATTCTTCAGTAAAATACTTCTTGAGGAAACACCAGATGACCACAGACACTTTGCCTTTCCACTTTACCCTCTAGCACTTGTGAACAGTTGAAGTAAAGCTAATTGAATCTACATAATGAAGCATTTCCTGATAAAGCCCCTGTTACCACCAATCTTACAAGATTTACTTATAGACTCATAAAGTATTCATACAGATACCTGTCACATTTCACTGCTACTTCATCGTGACTTACCATTTTTGACCACCATAATTATAGTAGCACTAGGCCATCTTGCCACCTGTCAGGCAACACCAACAGTGCATCAGCACCATATGCCAGACCTGCAGTGTGCACTGGAAGACATATTTCAGTACAGGATGGACACGCTTGAGCCCTGACAGCACTTTGGGAGAAAAAACACCGTGTTGTATTACTCTGATCTTAATTTGATAAACAAAAAGACACTAGCTTTTTCTGGACCAAGGACCAAGTACAGTTCTACAAAGACAGTTCAGGGGCCCAGTCAGCTGTTTAAAATACATTTCTCTAGAGCACTGCTATGGGATACAAGCTAATAAGCTCTGCCAGGGGGCCACAGCAGGTTATTAGTGGAGAATGAGGCATGCAAGGTGCTCTAAGGGCATAGTGGTGCTGTAAGTCAGTTGTGAAATAGCAACTGGATCACAGCCTGCAATGTATATGTGAAACTGCCTGTATGTATTTCTTTCTTGGGCATAGTTTAGGTAGCAAGCTCCAGAAAATTAAAAAGTCACCAACCAAATTTGCTTCTGCACTTCACAACTTTAATCTACATTTCATGCTACAGTTTCCCCTTCCTGCCGACTTGGGTTTGCAATTAGAGAAGGGGAGCAATTTAACATTTAATGTCTTAAAAATAAAAAAAAGCAGCACCTTCAGAACTACTTTACATTATCTAGAGGGTCACTGAGTTGCTCACTCATCTCATTGGGCAGATCATTTTTAGCCCAGCTAAATCAAAAATACTGTAACAGAATTTTTGAACAAAGACATTTCTCTTGAAAAGGTAAATTAAACATTCAAAAAACAGATTGCATAAAACACATCAAATTATTGATCGTTCAGAAGTGCATGATGATTTAATATGTACTCAATATAAAATTGGAAAAGGAGAGGAATCCTTTCTTCTTCTCAGTAAAAGCTACTTCTGCTCCTGCTCATATGCACAACCTCAGCAGCTCTGAGCTGACAGAGTTCTTCCTTCTGTCCCACTGTGGATAAATGAAGCCAGACAGTAAGCAGAGAAGGATGCAACTGGACAAAGGGAACATCCAAAGCAAGCTCATTAGGAATTAAAGAATTTTTTTTTTAAACTTCAGCCAAGAATACTGTGCCAAAATACCAACTGAGCCAACATACTATACCCTTGAACTGCATCCAAAAGCAGAGACTGCAACACAAGTAACAGGATTCTCCGTGAGCTCCTGATCCGACTTACAGATACCCATGCCTAAAAGGATGACACACTTTGCAGATGGTATTACCAAGGATGCAGTTTCAAAAGAACAGCAAGTTACTAGAGTAAAAGATAGGAATGCTGCAGTCCAGTTTTCACCACTGCAAATGCCTTAGCATTATTCACAGATTTTACAGAGATCTTGCTGTTATCTATTTCAATTTGCAAAGCCAAGAAAAAAGTTAAGTGATAACCTTTACTTGAAGGGCAATTATTTCCTGCACTTCTAATAGTAAAATGTCCTTTGCTGACAAAAAAAAAAAAAAAAAATGGTATCGATACTGTAAATCAGGGCACATGTTTATCACAGACTTTTTTTAAAAAAAAAAATCTAAGAGACACAGCACACCAGCCAGAGGTCAATGTGGATTACAGGGAAGTGACCAGCCAGAACTCTACTGGAAACAGCTTTTCCGAGTTACTCCAGGGACTTATAATCCTTCCAGTCTGATGTTCTGCATAGCACAGGCTCTAACACTAATTTCACCTATTTCTTCACCAAGCTGAGAGATGTGTGGTTAGACTACATGGTTATCTTTCAGACAGGGTGTCTAACTCACAGGGAGAGAGATCAACCTATAGATGGAACCTACACACCCCTTTTTAAGTCATTCTAAAGAGTATCCTTACTTTTAGAAAAACATGCATTAATTCTGATATGTTTTTCTCAGTTTTCCCTTCCCTGTGGCTTCAGGCCTTATCAAGCTGAAGCATAGTAAAGCTGACAGGAATACTCTTGGAGCTTTTGCCAGAAATTTGAACAGAAACAGAGAAACTAAGCAGAGCATGGACAGTTTCCTTCTGATGGTGTTTGCCAAAAGCTTACAGTGGCAGCACAGACAAACAAAATGTGTCTGTAAAGTCAAGAAAAAAAATCACACTGAGGCATTTCCATACACTTGGAAAGCTAACAATAAAAAAAATCTTCACAGAACTTGAAGTTGTTCAAAACAGAACTGCTCTAAATCCTTTCTTTTTCAAGAGAAGTTTCTGGTATGTCAATTTACAAAAAGACTTAAGTCCTGATTTTGACCGGTAAAAAGCTGTAAATTGTTGTAGTTGTAATATCATATAGCACATGCAGAGCAGTACATGGTAGACAAAGCTATCCAGAAAGCCTGTTCTGAAAATCATTGAACCTGAAGGACAAGAATCAACAGCATAAAGATCAAATAGGATTGACCATATAGCATGAACATGTAGAATAAACAGCGCTAAGTGATTTATTTTTCCTAATGGCTGGAAGGGACAGAACACAAAAAGAAATGTATCAGAAATGGACACAAGAGCTCCACAAGAAAAGGCAAGGCAAAGAGAGAAGGCAAAGGATAAGAAAAAAATTAACAAAATAGATAGGACAGGCTCAAAAGTAATTTGAATCAGATGAGGAAGATTTGAAGCCAGTGTAAAATTTGCCCGAGGAAGGAGAAATTCAGAACAAGAAGAGAAGACAGATTTGTTCTGAATAGCTCACTGGGGATGAAGTGAGAAGCTGAGCACTCAGAAGGCAAGGCAGTAGCCCCAGAAGTCAACACATAAGGCCAAAGCAAAAAAATCAAAGACTAGTCAAATTTCTAATCTCATAATGGGGCCCAAACCATACAAATGCTCAGCTGCATACAGACTGCCTGAATGTGATATAAGGTGCCTTGTGACAGGTACAGAAAGCCAGCCTCTGAACACATTATGTACAATTCTGTTACAAAGTACACAAATGACCTGCGAGAAGCTGACAGTAAAACAGGTGGGGTTAAAATGAAGTTCAAGTTGTCTTCAATTCTATAAAAATTATATTGCCACCTTCAACTTGTTCTTCCCAAATTAATTTTCATATCAGAATACAGAATAAGGGGATCCAGATACACAGTACGTTACAATTACAGTGCATCTTCAGGAACAGTAAAATAGCTATATCCAAAATCATCCACCAAACCAAGAGCAAACTCTGGGAGGGCAAAAAATAGACAAGTAATTAGCTGCTATGATTTCCAGTAACAACAGACTCTAGTGATTACAACTGCAATTAAGAACATCCGAAAAGCATCATCTTCCCAATTCGCATTACCTACTTACCTCCCATCATTTTCTTTCCACTATTATTCATGCCTTATCTAACTGAACGTTATGGTGAGGACACTTACTGTACAGATGTACGTAAGAAAGACTAACTGTAATTATAATTTACCATTAACAAAGATTTTTCTTCACAGTAACAGAAGGGGAAGAAACACAAGACTGGATAAAAATTATATTGCAAAGGTAGAAGAGAACAGAGGGAAAACTACTTCATCTAGCCTTATATTTTCTTTCTAACATCAAATTCACCTGCTACACTGGTGAGTTATCCTGGTGCAGTTTGGTATTTAGAATACCTAAAGAAATCCAGGGCTGAATAACAATGTGATGCACTGCAGGATCTCATTTCTGTCACTTGTTCACTTCAACCCTACTCTCCCTTTTGCAGTTTCTAGTCACATACTTTCTTTCAAATTGACCTTGAATGTAACAGTCAACTCCAACACTACAGTAGATTTACAAATATGATTAGGGTATGAGAACAGGATACATCAGAGAGATCTTCCCCAACCAGATCCAATTAATCACGCTACAGAACACATAGCCAGGAACATAATTTCCAGGTTTGTGACATTCAATAAATTAATCAACCCAAGCCCATATGTAAAGAGAAAAGAAGACAGCTCCCTCTGCTGGGTGAGACAATGCAGCTCCCTCCCATCCTTCCCCCCCACACTCTGCAGAACAGACTCTTGCATATTTAATTGACCAAGAATTACTATTATTTTTTAAATCAAATCCACGAGATGGTATTGAGTTGTTTAGGTTGCTCTGCAATTTCAGGAACTGGCCTATAGAAACCAAATTTTGGTAGTTTCTACATCTAGAAGCACAGGGAAGAAAATTCTTCCCATGGGTCTGTGTAAGAGCCTTTGAAGTAACATCCTACCTCTATCTGAAACACTTGAAAACTCAGTGTCCTTACCTCAATGTCCACTGTCAGCCCAAGTCTGGGAACAGAGTTCAGTAGTGTTACTGACAGTATAGATTTAACATCTGGCTTTTCTTACTGCTACTCAATTAAACTCTTTCTTGTACATCCCTGCCTCAAGAGAAAGCCCTTACCTTGTTTAAGGGAATGGCTGCAGCTTTCCACCTGCATGAGGCTTCATCACAACAGCAGCACTATGCAATTGCTCGCATGCAGAATGAAGAGTGATGAAATATCAGAGCACAGGTAGACAGCAGACAATGGCACACGTGAAAGGCAATGATCTGTATTTCAAGTGCTTATATTAGGATCTTCTAGGAAAACTACAATCCTCCTTTCTCAGTCATCCCATCTGAAACACAAGGCTAGAAGTAACACTCATACAGCATTACTGGTTTTCTTTCTGTATGTCAAGAAATACTAGTCACTTGGCTTCAGTAAGTTAGTTTTAAATAGAATTAATCACTCAGAGTCAATCACTTCGCATTAGGACGCACAGGTCATAGCATAATATTGTGTGATTTGATAAAATGTTTGTCTAGCAATACTTACTTCACATGAGTAGCTAGATTTGCTGAAGCCTTAGGCTGCAAGCTGTGAATTTTCACCTAGATTTGATGAACTTGACCTAGGTAAGTAAAAAATGGCCTCCAGAGCCAGTGCAAACCAGAAGTTAAGGAGGCTACAACCGTCAGCAGAAGCTGCAACTTGACAAGATAACAGCCTGCCTGGAGACAGAGGAGAAATCCAATCAGGTGTTAGATCTCAGACCAGAATCATGGTTGGACCAAACGGCATGTGAAAGACACATGAAGAAGGTGTGAAGAGTGGGTGCATAGATTCTAAGGGTGTAATTGCCCAGGGGCTTCTTTGTTTGGGGTCCATCTCCAGAGGCAGCCAGCTCAAGCTGTTTTTTTTTTCCAGCTATACCACTTGAATAAATTCTTTTTTTGTAAGACTCCATA